TGATTTTTTTTTGCACCTTCTTTAGAAGTGTTCTTTAGAAGTTTTCGGTAATAGTCCAGCATTAGCAAAAGAAAGTGCGTGTCCGGTGGAGGGGGAAGGGTGGAGGGGTGTAGTAAGCCGCGCTTACTCATTTAAACTTGGCCAACTTTAAAGCTTAGAAGGTGCAAAAAAAATATTTTTATTTTTGTATGAAATTAAAAATTTAAGAAATATTTTCTCTTGTTACAGATGTTGTTTTTATGATGTAAATAGTATATTCCCCGCAAACATTGTTTTCAGTAAATAATTAAAATTACTCTGTATACTAGGTTTTCCCCCCCCACTACATAAGTTTTGACGTACTTTTTTATTTTATTTATTTTTTCCAAAATTATTTCCATTAGCACTAATATATGCTCTCATACGTTCGAAACCCATGTAATAAATACTTCGCTCTAGAAACCATTTGGGATACTAACTACCGCATATCTCTTTAAATGCGCCTATTAAGCTCTCCATCATTCGAGAACTTACCCCTTTTTAATTGTTTTTTTTTCACATAAGGAAATTATAGCGCAAAATCACATGGGCCCTAAGTCTGGGCTGTACGGAGGATCGACCTAGTAGTTTCACTCCAGCTTCACACGCAAGATAATCAGCAGTTTAATGCCACCCTATGTGCGGAGCGTTGTCCTGATGCAAAAACCAAGTGTACGAGTTTTCTTGAGTTTGGTGCGCTCGTTTCAACTTTCAACGCTTCTAAAACTCTAGGCAAACATTCTTCTGTGTAGCCATTTTGCAGTAACCAGTCTTCTGTTTATAAAGCAAGATGATGGATAATTTTACGCGTTTTGAGAAATATACTGCTACTATTCTTTTTTTTAACTGATCGAGACCTTTGGACGGATGTCGGCGGATCTTCATCTTGAAACACCCACACTTTACTCTGAGGATTTAGTTGGGACAAACTCAAAACAGTAAAGCCAAGTTTCGTCACTATAAAGATTGATTTGACTTACTTAGATCGACCGCCCACCAAATTGTTTTTACGTCTCATGACGCCAATTCATACGTTGGTCCCTCAGCTCCTCAGTCATCGAATACGGCCGTCCCAGAGTGTTCAGAGTTTCCTAACTTTTAAATCGTCGTGAAGAATTCGATATAATTTGTTACACAGTCGTTGCATTTAAAATTTAGGATTTCCTCGATCTGTCGATACTACACATGCTGGTCTTCTTTAAGTAGTTTTCCCACAATGCCTTGACTTTTTTATCGGTAGTTATCTCTATTGGCCTACCCGACTTCGAATCGTCCTCCAAGTTAAATAATTATCGGGAATTAACTGAATAAACCACATTTCTATAGTCCTTAAGAAGGACAAGTATGACTTAATGCACCACTCATTTGTTCAAAATCATTGTGCTTAGTAAAGCCACGCTTAAAATAATATAAAATTATTACAACGAACGTCCCCGCACACGAAGTAAATTCAGTCATGTTATTAATTTTCAAAATATTGCAATAAATCTGCAAAGCTACTGTACGTCACAAAACTTGTACTATTATTGTTTATATTAGTTTGCCTTTACGAATCTATCCTTATGTGAACAATACCTTACATATATTTTACGTACGACAAAACTTATGTAGTGACCTACGTATATATATATATATTATTTCAAAAGAACATTTATACATTTAAAAAATTAAATGTATGTTAAATTATAGCAAAATACATTCAAGGTAAGACTTCTTGCTACCCACTAAAACACAATAAAACCTCCCCCCTCTTAATGGAGCGTCGCAGGATCGCTTGCGCCCTCAACAATGACCCCCCGACGGGGACGGCAGGTCTGTCCAATTAGACCACAACCATGGGGTTGCTCCAACGGTCCACTCTGCTATCAGAGGAGTACCAGGAGTAACCCGCATGTTACACCGCCCACCGAAGTGGGCAACCTCCCTGTGCGTTTTTTGGCTTCGCGCCCGGCTGAGCTGTCGGACGCAAATGATAGCCCCCCCCCTCACCCTCACCACGACAAGGTGAACGCACATTGGAAGGGGGAGGGGGGGATACTTAAACCACACATTTGTTTACTCGCGAACTCTCATGCTTCCACAACAATTTAGTTGTCAATGTAATCCTATTGAAAGTGCTAAATGTGTAGATTATCTTAGTATCTATACCAAGTACATACCAAATGTATTAAATAAGTTATGCTGATGAAGAAAAAGTATGTACATATAATTTTTTAGAATAAATATTACGTATTAAGATGATACACGTAGGTAGGTAGGTTGTAGGGTTTGTTTTTGCAAAACTTATGTGTTTTATTATACTATACTATGATATTATAAAGAGATGGTGTTGTAAGTTTGTGACTTGTGAGTTTGTGAGGTTGTAGGGAGTAATCTCTGGATCTACAGAACCGATTTAGATAAAGTTTGGTAAGAAGATAGTTTGAGATCCTGAGAAGGATAGTTTTTAAAGGGGTGAATATGGGGATGAAAGTTTGTATTAGGAATCAAGTTAGGGACGAACTCCAGCGAAGCGAAATTGAGGCGCTAGTCATTAATAAACAAAAAAATTTCAAAACATCTTAACAAACTTTTTCGGTTGAATGGGTTATTATTTCTACTATACCCATACGTCGCATACACAAGTACAAAGGGATAGTAGAAAATTATGTAAATAGCTTTATTTCATTGTAAATACTTTTCCTACATTTATTGCGAAACGGCAGAAACAGCTTTAAGAATTTCCATAAAGAAAACACCTAAACCCGACGAGTGTAAATTAAAAGTCGGACGCCCCGTCCGACTGTTTTCTCTTTCTTTCTCATAGCATAGATTTAAATCATGTAGTTTTTCTGGAAAATTCTATAAATAAATATACCCAGACAAAATGATTTAATGATATTTTTTTCGATATTTTATTAACACATTTAGTTTTAATTGAATCACAGACTATACAATTGTGATGAATACTACATATTATAAATGCGAAAGTTTTTATGGCTGTACGTTTGTTACTCCTTCATGTTAAAATATTGTTACATAGTAAAATAATGAATATATATATATATATATATATATATATATATATTATATATTGTTACATAGTAGAAATATATCTTTCTTATGGACATCTAACTAACAAGTTCGGTGTTACTTAGTGTTAATCGAGCATTATATGTCACTAGCATTGCCCGCGGCTCCGCCCGCGTTCAGATTACCAGAAACCAAATTATTAGGTATAACATATTAGTACATATAATTTTACATTGTAGTTGTTGTATTTTTTTCTCAGAAATGAGATATTTTCACGCGGTAAAAAGTATCCTGTATGTTGAACCGGATAACCAGCTATTACCATACCAAATTTCATCAAAATTGACACTTTTGTTATTTCGTTATTATTTACGAGTAACATAACTCTATTTGTGGTAACTTTAGTTCTTTAGCAGTCGCTATTTTAAAATAGAAATAAAAGTCAAGATATTATTTTAAACTCGCCGAAAATTTCATCGTTACGTATACCTATATCGTAACTATACAAAACGAATATCATTAGCGACCCGTCCTCTCTCTACAGACTCAACGATACCTCGTGTCATGCCTTAATTTTTAACTTGGAGTATTATTTTAATGGTTTTGTTAAATGATAGGGTATATTTAAATAGGGGTATATTTAAACTGAAATAAATATTACTGAAGTAAATAAATACTTTACAACTTTGCTCTACGGTCATACTAGTATACTGCAAACTCTATGCATTTTATACATAAAAATTTTCATGGAACTAATTTCTTAGATGGATATGTGGACTTAAAAAGCTTTTAGGCTATTACAAGGGCAAGGCAAAATGTACCGTCTATTTATGTTGGACAATAATGTTCTAACCAAATTTTGGTCATAGAAAACTAACTTACTGAGACCACGCGGGAAATATTACAGTACACAAGAGCAACATAAATGGCCTTTCTACAAACCTTCACTTTCAAATTCTGATTTGGCGGTAAGTCGACACCTTCGAAAATACCTTAAGGTGCAGAACCAAGAGGCGCGATGTTGTTAACCACTAACATCTCAATTCCGGACTATTAGTGTTTTTTTTATGATTTATGATTTTTTTTGTTAGATTTTAACTTAAAATGATATTGTGTTATTTTGGATACAAGGTTGGCAATAACCTATGTTGCACAACTGTATTTTTGTCTAAAAAGCTACAACTCAGCCTTATATTCATGAAACTTTTATTGAAAATTTAATTAAAATGATACAATTAAATTCATTTGGTCTAGTTTTTTTTCTACGTTACTTCCCTGGTTAAAGGGTTAAGGAAGTGATATGATAGACACACAAGCTAGTTCACATGCTAGTCGCTCGGAAATCTATGTCATCCAAGTACGCAAGGTATAAACGTAAAACGTAAAACGTACAAGGTTGATACCCTATCGCGGTTTTAAAGTTCTTATTCGGTTCGGCTAAGGTCACACGTAAGAGCAATAGCTTACCCATATTGTTCATAATAGTCGTTCGTAGAAATCGATATCCAAACATTAAGGTTTTCTTTTAAATCTTCTTCGATAAGTAATTGCTATAATATTTAAATGCCAAATATTGCTATTTGATTTTTTTCCCATTGTTTACTTGTTGTACTATTATATCTATTTATTTTTACCTTTATAGTTATAACTCTTTATTTTTTGAAGAAATGAATAACTTCCAAATATTCAGATAAAAATGGCAAGTTTAAAAATATTAAATTCAATTATTTTTAAAGTTTCTGTAAATACATATTTCATTTTACTTAAATAAATCCGATTTTTTACACAAAGTGGTAGCTTGCGGCTGTGGGAATAAATGAGTCATGATATTGCATATTTTAGAAATTTGATGATGGAGGATGTACGGTACGCTAAAGAATAACAAGAAAGCGAAGTGTGTGGTGGCACAGTAGGTGTAAAGTGGCAGTCGGAAGTAGAAGAAAAAGTGAAAACCAAGTGAGATCTCTTTAATGCCTGGCAACAAAGTGGTAGCGATGAAGACCTTAAGCATTATAGAACTGCCAAAGAAAACGGCTAAGCGAGAAGTTGCATGTGCCAGAGCATACCGTGACGATAATTTTTATAGCAAGCTAGAGAAGGCTAAAGATGATAGAGAACTTTTCAGAACTGCAAGGCATAGATCCGCACACAAGCTGCATGGATGTTCGCTGCATCAAATATATCGAAAACAAAAAAGGACAGCCGACCAGCAATCCACCATATAATTTATCATCATTCATCATTTTTTCGCGTGAAGTCGGTGCCAGCCAATAGAAAGCAAAGCACACCAACTTCGAATATATTTGATTAGGTATGTATAGTAAATGAAAACTACCAATCAGTTATTTTTTACTTTTTAGTGCTTTTTTTAAGTGGGTTTTTATTTTTTTTGTTAAAAAGTTTTGGTCTATTTCTATATCTACAATGGCAGTATATACGATACTTTATTTGGAAATATGAGTGAGATAAATGCCGTATGGTGCCATTTTTTATTAGTCTTTAAGTAATCACGATTACCATTAGAAGAAACCCATTCAATCTAAAATCAAATCTTTCTCATAGAGACTTTTTTTATAATTAAAGTGTAAATAAGAATAATTTTATATAAAGTATAATTAACTAAAGCTCGCAATTAGTATTTACATGTACAAAATTAACTAGATTATTCATTGTCCTTTCCCATATAAATTTTAATATGTAGTCCCTTTACTAATGACGAGTCGGGTGCAAATTAGTAAATATAATCAATTTAACACGACTCGACGTGACACAAATGAACATGTAAAATGTGTAACATTTAAAACTGACGCTGTTAAAGCCTGGTGGTCGTGGGTTCTTTCTTTTCAAAGGCATTTTATCGCATTATGTTTCTATTGGATTTTTAATAAGTTTGATGTTTTTCATGTTATACAGTCAAGCAGCTTACTATCGATTCACTCAGGTATATCCCTAAGTGCCTAACAGGAGCCTATGCGTCCTCCAGGTAATATGTGTGACTAAATTGATGAAATGCAATCTATTCCAAAAAGTCTTCATTTTTATTAGGCGAGATATAATCAGACTATTATATATATAAATATGTCAGGACATTAACACACAACACTATCTAGTTCCATGGTAAGCTTCAAGGCTTGTGTTATGGATATGGATATAAACAGTATTATTATAAAGGCGAAAGTTTGTATGTGTGTGTGTTTGTTACTGCATCACATTGAAATTGCTGGACGGAATTGGATAGATAGACCTGACCTGGCGTAGCATATTGGTTGTTTTTATGTAGGTACCTAGAAGCGATGTACCAGAGTGAGGCGAGGATAAGTTGCTATTAGTAAAAACACACTGTTAATAATAACAAAATTCTTGTTATTATGATATTAATCGCATTATTATTTTGTGTTTTAACGACCATTATGTAATCCATGTTAAAATGGCTGTACGAGATTGCGTTCCGTAATTGTCGATTAGATAGAAACATTGCAGAAGAAATCAAATAAATTGTAATCACTTTAAGGAAAAATAATAGTGTAACATAAAGGTAGTATTAAAACGGTCATTTAGATTGTTATCAATACTAATTTTATAAAACTTAAGATTGTTTTTTGTTTGTTTGAACGCGTTTCTATCAATCGTCAATACCCAAAAGCAAGACTGGATAAATTTTTTTTTATAACTTATTAATTATTTAATATAATAAAACATTATAATTTACTTAGGTTATAGGTATTTTTCCATAAAAACTTAATCATAATCAATTCAAATGATTACGCTTATGTAACTCGCGAATCGCATCTTAGTTTTAAATCTATCAGTGAAAATACCGTTAGCCAGTCTGGAGGATAGCGGATGAACTATAATATAATAATAATAATTTTATTATCCAAAAATTTTTTACAAGTTTTTACTAAATAATTTAGCCAAATAAACAATATCGCTATTAGGTGAATGAAGCATCTGTAGCTGAACTAGGAAACCTGTATTTCAGCTAGCTGCGCACTATGAACAGATAGAGAGACAATCATATGCTTTTTATATTTTGATTTGGGAAGCCCAAAAGCTTTTGTAACATAAACTATTATTCTTAGATTTTTAAATAAAATTAGATTTAAATGTGTACCTATCCATACTATTAAAATATATCTATGTAGGTACTTTTATATAATATCTATTTATAAAAAATGTAAAATTATTGGTATAGGTTCTATTCTAATTAACTCCTGAGTTCATCTATCTATACTTATTATAAAAATAAGTCCCCCGGCCGCGTCTTTCTGTCCTCCTGTCTGTCTGTACGCGATAAACTCGAAAACTACTGAACGGATTTTTATACGGTTTTCAACAATAGAAAGAGTAATTCTTGAGGAAGGTTTAGGTATATAATTTATTATGCTTTTATGTAAATTAGCTGAAATACGGCGACAAATGTTGAAGAGGTCGCAAAAAATCTCGCCAAATGGGAACTTTCCACGCGAACGCCGCGTAAACTAGCAAAGATACAGTTAAGTAATGTACTAGAGAATTCAAAATCTATAAAAATGCTACAAAAAGTCCGCGATAGCATATCTCTATCTCTTACGGTTGACTTACAATAACCACTTTTTATGTTAACATTTTTAATTAAAAACATTACGTTATTTTCAAAGTTATTTTCTTTAGTTCGGTATTAATCCTTATCCAAACGAATATTTTAGTTAGCTTAGTCATTTAATGCAGATTAAAATTGCTCTTTACACTAAATCAATCAGATGAATAGTTTTTGAGATATCGTTGTTAGAAGTAATTAGTAGCGAAACATTTTTAATGCTTGCGAGCATTGAGATGCCTACGGCGAGTCCATCCCCTCTGCCCGCATCGCTCGAACCGCCTGGCTCAAGCTATATAAACCGGGCGATGTAGCGCGCGATCCTAGGATACTTTTTACCGCGGGAAAATATCTTATTTCTGAGGAAAAATACAAAAACTGCAATGTAAGAGTATACTAATATGTAACACCTAAGAATTTAGTTTTTGGTTATCTGAACGCGGGCGGAGCCGCGGGCAATGCTAGTTAATAATAAATGATTCATGCTTCATACTTTAAACAAGCAAGTGCTATGGGGTTGCGACTTGCAAAGGGAGAGGGAAGGGGCGCATTTATAAGTAAACAGATCTGTGCCAGCGACAAGCGAACGTAGCCGACAGTGCGGCGCCACTTACCCCTCATTGAATATCACTCAATTCAGCGAAAACAGCGCTTTCAGATTTTTAAAGCCCATCTAGTTTATTTATCGTACTAAATGCTCATAAGAGTATGAACGATAATTTCATTTTAATTTTATACGTTCATTTTTTTTAAAGCCTAGATTCATACTAAAACTGTTTTTCTTTTTTGTCTCACCGCTAAATAATTTTACTCTACGACGTAGAGCTATGTGGCTGAAATGTTATAGTAAGTAGGTAGGTGTCTGTCGTGAATCGCTAAACAATTATTGCACAGAAAAAAAACCATTTGTATTAATATGAAGATTCGATACATATATAATTTAAAGATACATAATTTGATTTCATTTCAACGTATAAAGGAAGAATTGCAAATATACCTAACATTAATCAAGTTTAATTAAAGTAACCAATACTGAGTGGATTAGTCATAAAAATCTTCTGGTTTCTTTACAACTAAAATTAGTTTTTTATGTGCTGAAAGAAAAATAAGCACTTATAATTTTATTATGCTAACATTATCTAATAAAACTTCCGGAATACTCAAAGAGTTTTAGATGTTTCGTAAGCGCTTAAAGTGCTTCAGTTATTTGTTCATATTGTTTGTTCTGGCTGAATAGGTCGTTGCCCGCGGCGAGCGCTGCATCGAGACTTTTTATCAGAGCCAAGATTAATCTCTGCACTTACACTCTTGCCAATTTTAGTTTCACAATTTTGACGCTAGGAAACTTAACTTTCTTGACAAGTTACAAGTAACTTACATTATCTTAGACGTTATATAATGTACTATGAAGTATGTTTCACTGCCTCGGTGGTGTAGTGGCTACCATGTACGGCAGCACACCCGGAGGTCCTGGGTTCGAGTCCCGGGTCGGGCCAAGTTTAGTTATTGAGTTTTTCTGTATAGTAGTTGGGAAGTTGGCGGTGTTTCACCCCCGTGCGTCGGAAAGCACCTAAAGCCGTCGGTCCTGCGCCTTAACTGTCACTGGTCATGTAGAGTGGTCGTCCCACCAGAGTATGAGAGTGACAGGAATAGAGAGTGCACTTGTGTCTGCGCGTACACTTGTGCACTATAATATCTCCTGTGCAGTTGGCTAGTCTCAATGAGATTGGCCGCCGTGGCCGGAATCGGTCAGGAGAACATCATTGAACATCATGTTTCATACTTGATATATTTTACAAAATAAGATATAGATAGAGCTCTTTTTTTCTGTAGGGTGTCTTAAAAGTAAAGTTAGTACTGATTTTGATATATAACACAGGTTTTATTAAAAAAATTGTAATTTTTGTCATTGATTTATAAAATATAAAGGGAACATAATGCTTCAAAATTCAAAATTTTCTTTTACTCTTTATTAATTTGCTCAGTTCTTGATGTCATTAATACATGGATTATTGTGGCTCAGCCTTGACCTTTGGGTAAAAAAAACCTTACACAGGAAGTCTAATAGCATTAAATGACCTTCTATTTAACCTGGTCAACCAATTGTGATAAGCTAAACGTGAAATTTTTATTATCACATCGTGATAGTGAGCACCATTAAGTGTTATTGTCTCAACAGTCTCATTTTCAACAATATCAGGTGATAGTGCTACTATCGCGACATCAGAGTTCAGAGAAACAATTCAATTAATATCTAAACAATGTCTGAATCAGTTCTTCGTTATGTAATTTTAACAATGTCACGTGATCTGTACGAAATGATGAAATATTAGAATATTCAACTAAAATCTGTGTATTTTATAAAAATGACCTCATGGGTTATTTGTTAGACACCATTTATTAAAAATAGATTTATAAGTTACTTTATATTTATATATATATTCCGTTAAATTATAATAATAATTGAATACTGTTTTAATATGACTTTGATCTTTTAAAATAGAAGAAATATTCCTTCAAAGAAAAGCTGAAATCCCTTGGGAAGTATATATCGTAAGTTGAACTGCTACGTGGTATATTGACTACACTTAGATATTTGATATTCCAAATATCATGTACGAGTAAAAGTATTTCTCAATGTTT